GTTAAAAAAAAAAAAGAAAAAAAAAGAAAAAAAAAAAAAAAAGAAGAAGAAAAAGAGAGAAAGGAATAAGAGAATGGAAATATGGACATACTGAAGGAGGTTGCGTCCTTCGCATTTCAAAACTTTCTGAATGCACACTTGCTTAATCTTTGCTGTGGGTCAACCTGCAGTGGTCCCCACTTTGTGACATCACAAAGACAGATACAAGAAACGAAAGTCATCAGGAACAGACTACCGAGAAGCTTTTATGATCGGTGGCAGGTAAAACTGGAACGACGATGTGAAATGTGATCGAATAAAACATAGTAAAATGATAGTTTGTTGTGTCATGCGTTTCGCTGCTGTCAGGGGGACAGTCATTGCGGGCACTGTCCTCACTGGTGGAGTGGCATACGACCAGGCTGCCAAAGCAGATGAAGACGATATGTACTTCCTGAACAAAAAAGTTAATGCAATCAGACTACCGAAAAGCTTTTTTGTGATTGGTGGCAGGTAAAATAGGAAAGATGATCATACCAAGTTAACTGATAGTTTGCTGTCTAATGCGTTTTTCTGCTCCCAGGCTGTTGTCTTTGGGGCAATTGTTGTGGGCACCGTCCTTGCTGGTGGATTGGCATTCTACCAGGCGGCCAAATCAGAGGGAGATGATATGGAGTTTTCTGAAGCATTTTGGTCTGCGTGGGCCTTAATTGCCGATTCAAGCTTCCATATTGGACAGGTAATTTCATTCATGCTTTATTTTCCACTGCCTCCCCCTTGTGTTTTGATGAGATCCTTTTGTCATTCTAATCTGATTCCTAAACCACCTGTACCTCACCCACACATCAGCCGCAGGCTCCTCAGGGGGACATTAGGAGGTCTGAAAAGCGACAACGGCCGCCGATGAAATTTATCAACAGCGGCCCCGCCCCGAAAAGTTGCAGGCATTAAGGAGCCACATCTCTGAAAAATAGCCGGGAACGGTACTGGTGGTTTAGAGCACCACTGCCTCCTAGGATTCAAGGAGGCCCAATTTTTTTTTACAGTGACCGGTGTGCCCTCCGGGATTGAACATTCTACTGCCTTGAAATTTATCGGTGGCCCCAAGCCCGTTTAGTCGGCGTTTACTCTTTTTTGCCATTTTTTATTCAATGAGCAGTCTTCTCACATTAAGCTCAATTGTCTCTCTCTCCAGATTCTGACCGTTTTTGAACTTTTTACTTTTTACTAAGTTTTTAGTAAGTTTTTACGAAGTTGTTTTCTTTTCTTTTCAAATGACCTAATGGCCAAGGCCCTGTTCTATTCTTGGAAGCACCATTCCAGCTCTGTTCTCATCCGCAAGTGATGCATGCCTGGATGAACCATCGGCAACCTGAAATATGAGAATCACCAATGTGGGGGAGAGGCACAATGTGACACAGTGGAAGACTCCCATCAGACACAGACTGACCTGAATATGTAGTAAAATGACAATATGACGCAGATCTGAGCTCACACTCAGCTGGGATGGGTCCAAACATACAAGAGACCTCCCCGCTCCCATCATACATGGATGACGGTGAGATCAGATATGGATTGAGGAAGAAGGAGAAGATGGAGAACCAATATTTGGCAGCGCCAAATAATGATCTCTGCTCCACCTCAATCTCCTCTCCTCTAACTCGCCTCCGATCAATAGGTCACACATCTCAACTCGGGGAATCATGCTCTAAACATGCCAATGCCAACTCTCTCTCTCTCTCTCTCTCTCTCTCTCTCTCTCTCTCTCTCTCTCTCTCTCTCTCTCTC